GGGGAGGGGAGACACAGAGACCATACTAAACAGATATCATTTTTAAACCAAAGTTAATTATTTTTCTCAGACCAGTTCTATGCACCTCAGGGACTTGAGTTTCAAGTGTTATGTTCAAGAAGCAGGGTAGACACAAAAAATTTATGCTCAGGATTTTGTCTAGTAGTTCCATAATGGGCATTGAAAGAAGAAAAAAAAAAACAGCTTACTGGAATGTGACTAACTGGGAACTGACTCAGTATGATACTAGCAGAGCTTTCAATAGAGCCGAGAGATATTTCAGAGGGACAGTCCAAACTTGCTTCACCCCTAGTAAACTTGCTTGCTGCCTTTGCTACCATATTATAACACAAAACAAACCCTAGGGCTCATGACCAAAAAAGAGAAAAGCTGTTGTTTTTGAAAACTGTGAACACCAGAGGACAGACAGTAACGAGCGAGGTCATGAGAATTAAGAGCTGTGTATTTATGCCACTAACAGAATACCGTGTTTTAACTGTCCATGAAAAGCTGTTTCAGAAGTAAGCAGCCTTGGGTTATTAAAGCACACAAAAGCTCTACCTCACTGAACGTCTTTGAACTTTACTGAGTCCCACAAGTGATCCTGACCCCTTTGACCTTTTGACAGGTAATAAAGTTTACAGCAATTCCACACCAAGCCATGCACCAGGGAGTGGTCATAGTAGCAGAAAGCTGGGTAGGCAAACTCAGGGAAAAAATAACATTAATATATCGAATGTTTACAAAGAAGATTGTAACTGAGCACATGATTTAAGAGTTACTTTTCTCCATTGGCTTTTTATTTCCTACTTTCTTCAAATGTTTTATAACGATGTTAACTTGATTAGTGTTGTTACAAAACAAAACTGGTTTAATTTTCACTACCAGGCACTCCTAGTACTCACTCCCAGTTCATTTACCAGGTAGCAGCCCTCCTGGTGAATGGCTTGAGGATGGTTTTCGCTTGCCTGACTTGAATACAGTCACTAGAGGGGACTTGCCTGCTCGGTTGGACTGGTCTATCATGGGCTGCACTATTCTTCTTCGCGCATTAATAAACCTGTAACCAAGAAAGCAAAGCAGATCATTATTGCATAAACGCATGAACAAAAGGTAGAGGAAGAGGAAGAGATGAGCCACAGTAGGAAGAGCTTTGGCAAGCTGAGCCTGCCTCCTTTCTCCCTCCTGGACAGCTTCGAATGCTGCAAAACCTGTAACCCCATGACCTCTGAATACAAGGCTTAGGTTTCTGAGTTGATTTATGTTTGCCTGTTTTACCACAGTTGGACACTTCCATTTCATCTTTTCATGGGGGAATTAGCAGAGTTTTCAGGAAACAATGCTAGCCACCACTCTTTTCAGTGGGCAGGGCGGGAGTTGGTGGAGACAGAGAGGCTATGGGGACATCTGCTACCTTCCAATCACTGACATTTCAATCTTACACTCTCTGACTTCTTTCTCACAGTTTGTTTGATCCAAACCTCCCCTACCTTTTGCAAACCTAGTTTCATCTTGATGTCCACCGCTAAGATAAGGGACTGGGTTGGCAGTGCACCGTCAGTAGAAAGAATGTCTGGAGTTTATCACTATTAACTCTCGCTTCTGGGGACTTTGGAGAAAGGCATTCCTTGGAGAGATTTCTTGGCGTGACTTGTTTTTTTCTCTTTATGCAAAATCCGAGTCAAGACAAGGTCACATCTACACAGCCACTGAATTTATAATTTCACTTTCTTCAGCTACTACTGAAAATTTATAAACACCTTATTAAGACGTTGAAGTCACTCGAAGTTTATTTTAAGCATTGTTTGGTACAAGTCTTTTTCCTAGCTCCTCCAGATGTCAAATCACTGAAATATAAAACATGCAGCTACCTCCAAAGCCTTCTCCACAAGACTGTGACTCTAAAGATCTTTGTCCTGGGTTGTAAGAATTTTATACCAATCCAGAAAATAAAGAGTATGTATTAAGTTTTGAAACAGGAAGTAACCTTTAGTTCCCAACTCCACTCTGAGCAGGACATCAAAACTATGATGAAATGTTCAATAATGCCCTATTAGTAATTGAAAGGTCCACAGTCTCATATAAATTTTAGTTTGTACATCTCTCTATTTGAGCAAAGAAAGCAGTTCTGAAAATCCAAACCATTAAACAGCCAGGGACATGTCTTTAAAATAAAAATACATGCTTCATAGTGTTTAAGATTCTCAGTAATCTGGATCTGCTTGTGTTCTTCCTGAGAAGTAATTAAGGTAAAGGACAGAAGTGTAGTCTGACTAAAAGGCACACTATTGGAACTGGTTCTTAGAGGCCATGCATTGTATCGGCTTTTACATAGGAAGTCCCCGAACTGCTAATAAAAATATTTAAAACACAGATCTACAACAAACTGTGTTGCCAGTCAGGTTATCATTATCTTATATAAGCCATGAAAATTGGAATCATGTGAGCAGAAGGTTAGATTAATTCTCCATTCTCATTATAAGCACAGGTGTAGCACAAACACCATGTGAAATAACCAATTAAAATGAAAAAAAAATCTGCCTTTTCATTAGCTGCCTGCACTGCATGACCAATTAGAAAATTATTTAATATTAATATTCTGCATATACCAAAAGTAATTTTCATAGTAACTAATATAGGTAAGAGAGCAAAGCATAGCTCTTTATGCTACTGTTTATTATCTCCACTGACAGAGAAGAAACTTAGTCTGTTAACTCTCTGTTTCAAATTTTTTAAATTCATTTGATGGGTAGGGAGGGCAAATTTTTGTTGTTGTTTTGGGTTGAGTTGGTTTTGGTTTGTCTTGTTTTGTTTCTTTGAGACAGGGTCTCACTAGGTAACTCTGGCTGTCCTAGAACTCACTATGTAGACCAGGCTGGCCTCGAACTCACAGAGATCCGCCTGCCTCTGCCTCCCAAGTGCTGGGATTAAAGGCGTGCACCATCAAGTGTGGCCAGGAAAGCAATTTTTAGCAGATAAGGACAATTTTAACAAGGCTCAGAGGAACTGAATGACTTATTTTAAGACATGTGCTACCGAAGAGTTCGTTAATGACACAGTTTTGTGTCATCAACAAATCCTAATGCTACAAGTACAGCACAGCCGTTGATGTGCCACAGGCTAGAATATTCCACACTAACCAAACATCTGAAAAGCAGCTGCTTCTGAGCCAGCAACACGTACTCTGAGCCGAGGCACAAGCATGACAATGAACGTCTCATAGTTGGAGAATCCCTATGGCTGCCCAGCTTGTGTGTATAGATGAAGATGAGGCTGTTCAAAAGAGATCCAGTGACTGGGGTTTCCATATTCCACCCTTTGATTCCTCTCCACTCAAACATGCAGACGCCCCAAGACCAGTGCGGAGGAACCAGCTCAGGTGACCAACTCATGACCATTCATCCCACGGCACCAGAGAACAACCGTGAATCAAGTTTAGGAAGTGCTTTGTCACCTAGCTGGGCCATTGGCGTGGATCTCCTCGGTGATATCCCACTGAATCAATGCCTAGCCTCTACTAGACTGAATCCAACACGGCACAAGCCATTTTTGCTGAGGGTCTTTGAACAAAATGAGCTGCTGGAAGGTCCTGTTCTCCATCTAAAACCCTTTCAAGGTACAGCTCTCTGGGACAACTTAAATAACTTCATCCAACACTTGAACGTAACCATCATGTCCTCTAGGCTTTCTCTTTTCTCTGGGTTAAACAGTCATGGCTCTTAAAGGTCCCTGCCCCCAACAAGAGGTAAAGTATCTTTCAGATTCTGAGCCTACCATCATGCAGGCCCCTCTACTCAGTTTGCTGAAATTATTTGTATCTCTATGGAGGTCACATTTATTCAGGGCCTGTCCTGGTCCCCATATAAAGGACAAACTCATTACCACATTCTCCTAGCTCATCACCCACAGGTACTAAGTATTATTCACTTTTTTCTGTGGAGGTGATAACTGGATTTTTTATTGTTATTCAGGTTTAAGAGACTCATAGTCTATATAGACATTGGGAATCCTGTCATTAAATACAATAACAGATGGAAACACAGGAAATCAAAGAAAACTCAACTACGTTGAATTGTTCAGATAAATTACCAGGTCTACATAGAACTATCTTTCTTTCTTATTTTGAGACAGGGTTGCACGTAGCTCATGCTGGCCTCAGACTTGCTATTTAGCTCAGAAAGATGACCCTGAATTTCTGAATGCTGAGATCACAGTCTTTCTTTAATATGCCTGGTTTATGAGACTGAACCCAGGGCCTGGTGTGTGCTGGGCATGCACTCTACCAACTGACCTACACCTTCAGCCCAACTTCCTCTTTCTGAAACATTTTTTAAATGTTTCATTTAAAAATATTTCAATATAATAAAACATTATCAATATATTTAAGACAGTAAGTTCTTGGAACATCACTAAATTGTAATCTCCATACTACTATAAACTACCTGTATCATGGTTTGAGGTCATGGTGAACATCTTTACCTGAGAGTAACGAGTTAAACAGCAAAGTATTTCATTTTCTAAAACAACATGTTATTTATATGTGGCATCATTTCCCAACTTGATTCTCCTTGGTGTATTTTGTCACCACCACAGACTACCTCAGGTCTTTCCCCCCAAAACCTCTCTCACTGGAATTAGCTGCATACAGCAGAGCATGTGTTTAGAAGGCTTAGGGGTGAATTCAGATACAAAACATTTTCCTTCTGGGCAAAGCAATAAAATGGCATTCTTGCTCCTCCCACTGTAAGTCAAACTGAGGTCAGCTCCCTTGTCCCACTATCTGTTTAAATAAACTGGCCTGGCTGTTTGTTTCTCCAGTGCCCTTTGACCCGTCTCATCCTCCCTGCTTCGGTGACGGAATGCTTTACTTTTCATTGTGAAAGAAGCAAAATCATCGAGAAATTTCTAAACCAGGAAACCAACAAAATGCCTTTAGATGGGATGTGAACATAAATGGACTTATTTTCCTTCTTAACACGGTGTTATTTTAGGAGAAATCAGTAAAAATTGTTAATACACACACACACACACACACATATACTGAAATTACATCATGTAGTTAAAGAAAATAGTGTTTCTGAAGAGAAGTAACAAAGAGAAGGATAAAACATAAATTAGAATGTATATTATAAAGACATTTTCTAATTGCTACAGAACAGTCTTTTTTTTAACAACTGCTATTCAAATATAACTGGGACATGGATGTCAGGAATGTGACTGTGTGAGCCACTGAGATGGGCAGTTGTATACCTTTTCTTAATAGACTATAAGAATATAATAGAATATGTACTACAATTTAGGCTTTTAAAGTAAACTGTTGAGTTAAATAAGCTTTAAAGGTTAGAAATGTTTTATCTGCCATTGTATATTACTGTACACACACACACACACACACACACACACACACACACACACACACACACCTTAGTTACACACTGCTTTTAAGAACAAGACTCCCTTTCTGTAGGTGGTAAACAGCTGAATCAAGGAAAGAAAGGTCTTCTTCTGTCTGCACCACACAGCAGAATTTCTGCTGGAGACCCAATTATCTTCTTTCTCAGGCTAAGTTTTACAAAGGAAAGCAAGATAGCAGGGTGACCTTCTAGCTTTCCTCCATGTCCAAATAAACAGATGTGTTTCTTTCTGACCTGGTTGTTTGTTTAGGACTCAGAGACCTTCTAAGGAAGAGTGGGAGCCTACAGGAAAGAAAATCTCCCAGCATCCGAGACTTAAGAGCATCTATAAATTGAATTTTACTTTTTGCAGTTTAGATGGACCAGACAAGGAGATCGCAGGCTGCATCTGAATTTTGTTTTTAACAGGGAAGTTCTGGTTTTGTTTCTTCACCTCACTCTTCAGTTGTTGGATGTTGCATGTCATAATGTGTGTGTGTGTGTGTGTGTGTGTGTGTGTGTGTGTTATGTGTGTGTTATGTGTGTGTGTGTAAGTGTGGTGTATATGTGTGGTATATATGTTTTTGTGTGTGTGTGTGGTTTGTGTGTATGCACGTGTGTCTGTGTGGTTTGTGTGTATGAGTGTGGGGTATGTGTGTGTATGTAT